AGCAGCAGCAGTAGCAGCAGTAGCAGCAGCAGCAGCAGCAGCAGCAGTAGCACTTGCTGAAAGAAGGATGCCTTTGAAAAGTGAACACAGTGCTTTTATACCTTTACACTGTTGGTGAACCTGTCAGTCAACTGATGGCATGTCATGAGATAAAGATTAAAGCTGTAGGGGGGAATTTGTTTGTGAGCACCCCTCTCTCTCAGGTTGGAGCTGCTGAGGTTTGAATCAGTAATGGGAGTGATGGGGGTGTGTCCAGAGGAATGAATGGACACACTGGAGGACATTTCTACTCAATGGTTTTTCTAAAGGAACCTCACATTTCCAGATTTGTTTGTCTCTTTCTACCCAGCAGATCAATGCAGCTGATAATATCGGAGTGGAAATGCTGGTTTGGTTTCCCATGAAAGAGTTTAGTTGAACTTTTCTGAGAAAAAGAGCTTGATATTGATTCAATTATTCAATTGTTTTTTTTTTATATAGTGCCAAGTCACAACAGAAGTGCAGAACTGTACAGAACCATTCGCAAACATTATAAAAGACAATCAGTAAAAGTTCTTTTTTCAATTCAATTCAACCTTTATTTAGACAGATAAATCACACTGAGCCTCGGAGACTCATTTACAAGTGAGACCTGTTTAGACAGAACAAAAAGTAGTGAAACTGGACACTGTAGGAATTGGAGGTAAAAAAATTCTTACCAAACTCTTTTTTCTTGGCTGAGAAAAAAGACCCTGATATTGGAAAAAAAAAAAACTCGCACACACAAGCACATGGTGATGTAGATATTCCACAGAGGGGGGAGTGTGTGTGTGTGTGTATGTGGGGGGGTGGGGGGCAAGGTCAGTGAGGATGTCCAAGGATACTCTCAGGGGCACTGTAGAGTTCTGATAAGGATGGAATAATCAGGCAGTTCCCTCCGGTGAGAATCGTAAACATTCTCGTGGGATGTCGGGGAATGGCCAAGGACAACGCCAAAGAGAATCCAAGAGTCCTGAAATGATGACACAATGTTTATTCAACTGGTTTCCTCTGGTTGATCAGTGGAATTCTTCGATGGGAGTGTGTGTGTGTATGTGTGTGTGGGATGGGGGGGTGGGGGAGAGAGCATCAGATTACATATCTTCCAGGCAAATTGAGATAAGGTGGCCTGCAAGGCCAGCCAATGGAGCCAAATTCAGATAAACAGCTTTTGTTTTTGAAGTCAGGCAGAACTTTAATTTTTATCTGCCTTGAGTCTTTGCTGGTCTCACGTAGATTCCGAAAGGTCCAAATTAAGTGGACCCACCACTGATCCATGCCGGAGAATATTCCCCAAGATTTGATCCATCCTGCCAGCGAGTCCTAGGGGCTGCATATGGCCTGTGATTCTCACAAATCACATCCAGTTTGCGATCCAGTCCGCTAAGCAATAGAGCCTGGGTGCACGAGACACGGAGCAAATCTTAACATAGGCGGCAGCCTGACCACGCCAGATTAGCTACGACCATCTTCTTTGTATGTTGATAAACCAGGAACCATCCATCCATCCATTTTCTTTACCCGTTTGTTCCATTTTTGGGTCACGGGGGTCGCTGGTGCCCATGTCCAACAATCACTGTGCGAGGGGCGGGGTACACCCTGGACGGGTCGCAAGTCCATTGCAGGGCCACATAGAGACAAACAACCGTTCACTCTCTCACTCACACCTAGGGACAATTTAGAGTTACCAATCAGCCTAACATGCATGTTTTTGGTCTGTGGGAGGAAACCGGAGTACCCGGAGAAAACCCACGCATGCACGGAGAGAACATGCAAACTCCACCCAGAAAGGCCCCTGGACTGGGGTTTGAACCAGGGACCTGCTCGCTGAGAGGCAGCAGCTCTACCAGTTGCGCCACCGTGCTGCCTAACCAGGAACCAGACAATTCCAAAAACAGGAAACCTGTTATCATAAATCCAATTATATGCAGTTTCAGCGTCCTCGAACGATAGCAGAATGTGTCGTCCGGGCAGTTCAGCTCGCCTGAAGCTTTTCTCAAAAATGTTATCCATTGCGTTGAGAGATCAACTGACCAGATCCCCAAAATTATGGTTCAGAAGTTATGTAGAGAGAGGCTCAGAAGCAGTTTCACAGACAGGACAGAGCAGCGAAGCAAAGTGAAGGAGGGAGAGGAGGGAAAAGCGTCCGTCCTCATCAAGAGCAAGTGGTGAAAATATCTTTATCTAAGGAAGCAGCAGATTGTGTTGAATCTTCACTTTATCACAGTCTCCCATCCTGAGCAAGCACAAAGGAGACAGTGGAAAGGAAAAACTTCCTTGAACAGAAAGAAACCTCCAACAGAACCAGACTCAGGACGAGCGACCATCTGCTTCAACCGGCTGGTTTTAGAGGACAGGAAGGAGAAACAAACGAATACAGAATGACAGGTCCAGGTCAACTCTCTATAGGAGGAAAGAAAAAAAAACATATTAAGATAGAAATAATTACAAATACAAACAGGAAGAGTAGAGCAAGTAGACAGCAACAGAGAGAGGAAAAGTGGTCAATTTGTCCTCCAGCAGTCTAAACCTATAGCAGCAGAACTAAGTTATAGCTCAGGAAAC